CAATCTTCGAACTAAACACAGAAAAATTTTTGTCAGATAGCTTTGTCTTATCAGGTAAAGGAGTTTAGCAAGGTCAGCTTAGCAGTGATGAAAAAGGAAGAAAGTCATGGTGTTTTTTTCTTTTGCAAGAAACAGCTTGCCATCTGTCTTCATTTCTTGCTCAGATTATACCTAAACAATCATGCAAAAACTCATTCTTGGCTGGACGCTTACACAGGAAGGCAATGTATCCTAATAGAAAAGCGTGTTTTGATTCTTGCAAAATCTAGGAAGCTTTTTAAACCAACATTTTATCACGTAAATGTGTCTTGGAATTCTAATTTGCATTTTAGGTCCCTCGAGCTACTCTGAAGATTTTTGACACCACGAAACCCTCAGATAGAAAAAACGATCAAAAGACAACGTCCACTGCCCCTTTTACAAATGATCACTCTTCTATTTACATGGCAAGCCAGTCGTTGTCGCGAAATCGCCGCCCAGTAGTGGACGAAGCAACATTTCTGGAAGATTTACGCAAGTTGAAGCCCGCAGAAATTAGGGAACCGCAAAAGTTCACCTCACACAAGTTGACTTTGGATCCTAAAGATGTGAGACCACGAGTTGGTGCCGCAGCCGCTGCGGAGGTTGCATCGGCAATGGAAAGACCAGCCAGGCATTTTATTGGAAGACCGCAACCGCTAATCACTGAAGATCGTGGCAATGTTCAGGCTGAATTGACCACTTTTCACAGATATCGTGATTATCTCGGAATTGCTGGCCCGATGCCAAACATTAAGCCTAATATGGGCGCTATGATGAAGATTCCGGCGTTCTTGCAAGCGCTACAGCAGCGGAATGAGATGTTGGGATTCACTGGAGGTAATACTATACCTCCTCAGTTGCCCCACAGTACGCCTGTACAATCAGTTAAGCAAATTCAAGCTCCTCCTCCTCCTCCTGTTTCGCAAACTGAACAACACTTCTACCCGCAAACACAAGCCCCACCTCAAATTAATCAGTTTCAACCTCCTTTACCCTTCCCAGTGCCGCTCAATATACGACAAGCCATTCAACGTCTACAACCACAACAGGCGGCTCGTATACTCAACGAACTGCTCCAAAAACAGCATCAACAGAGATTTGTGGATGATCTCGAAAGATCGGCACTTATGTCGCCTACCCCACCTCTAACGGAATACGATTACCCGCATGATAGTGGTAGAACTCGCCATGGCTTAACGTCAAAAAAAGCCGATGAATCAACAGTGTCAGTGAGAAAACCAGATGAAAGGATAGCTCCTGGAGTTCCTGGAACAGTGCCGCGCGCTCGTGAAGAATCTCCTCCAGAGGAAATCATGTGGGAAAATGGACCTGTTGATCATTTGGATTGTGCAGAGTACTATGAGAGTATTAATCCGAAGCCGAAGGGGAAGACTAAAGAGAATGGCCTTGGAGCGACTGGCATTGTGTTGGGGCCAAGTAGTAGAATACAAAGAAATGAGAAAGCGCATGATTTCGCTATTACAAAACCAAAACCGCCATCATATCTTTCGCCTGAGGAGGTGAAAAAGTTTGATAATTGTGTCAATCGACTACGGATGATTGCTACTATGGTACAGGACGACTGATTTGTACTGTAATAGCAGTCATTGCCCTACATTATATAAAACAAGCATCAGAAAGGTAGAGCCGGGTTTGCGGCCAATTGTGTAGGTTATAGCTTTAACGCAATCTATAGACTGATTTTGCTCTTGTGTTGGTGCTACAGAATCATATTGATGGCAGTTTTAAATTTATTACAGTTGAAGTTATATTGCTTGCCACATATGTATACATCCCCTTTGACATTGATTGAAAATATTTTCTAACATTGAGAGACGACTGAAAAGGCGCCTAACCTCTT